GGTCATATTAGGCTGCAGTAGGGTCTGCGGTCATATTAGGCTGCAGTAGGGTCTGCGGTCATATTAGGCTGCAGTAGGGTCTGCGGTCATCTTGGTCATGTGTTGTCAGTCCAAAGTGAATTGCCTCATTACCTTTGTTGTAGGGCTGGGTAATGAAAATGGGTAATTATCGTGATCGAGGAAAATATCAATATAGCAAATGCTTGATGAAACTTTGATGCATCCATTTTTCTATTTTTGTTTCCCCTGACAAAGAACCGGTTCTGTTCTGTGGTTCACAAACCTATTTTGGAATGGTTCTGCAAGTTGCCACCAAAATAAAAACTTTGTGAGCCACAAAAGCCAGTTTCTGTTGAAGACCAAAAAATAGTTGGATCCTGAATGGGAACCGTGATGCCATCATGAAGGGGCATGTACTGTTTAACCTCCAGGCATAATGCAAACATGGAGACAGTGGTGGAAAATGTTGAGAACAAAAGATTTGATCTACGTACCAGATTTAATAAAGTTATAAACTTGGCATGGGCTGGTAAGATCTCTGAAGTAGTGAGTAACCTGACCAAAGCCCTTGTCATCCACTATGGAAAATGGCTGCTCATCCACTGTAATGATCCCTATTATTTCACTGGTTGTTCTTAGTTCTGGTGTTGCTCTGAATACTGACACTTTAACTATCGGCTGGCAGTATCGGTAATTTTAATTTATTATTATTGGGTGTGCAACATTAGTCTCATGCGGAATGTGTCAGAGTAAAAAGTTGCTTTTTCACTCTAAAATGTAGAGAAGTGACAGTAAAAGTTGTATCTTTGGAATACAAATTTGGAAAAAACCTACTGAAATACGGTAAAACACCTCTGTGTAGAGGCAAATGTAAACTCTGGCTACTCAGGTACTCACCCACCACTGATGATGTGATGGTGCCGACTGCAATTTGCTGAGATACAAATTGGTGGAAACGTGGGCCCATTCCTATTTGGCATCTGGATCTGAACTGAACTGGTTCACGAACCGGAAAGGTACCAGTTCTTCGTTGATGGAAAAGCACTAAGAGACTGCTTGTCAGGACCGGCAATGGAGCACAAGTGCAGACACTGCCGTAAAAACATTATTTCTTAAACAAATAAGAGAATGCAATAGGGCAGACAGACAAAAGTCAAACCAACCGAGCAACTCACAGCAACAGCAGGTAAGTCCAAAGCAACCTGTCCAATAAGGGTAATCCAGTAAAATTCAGTCCATGAGAAATCTCACAGTAATAATCCACAGAGAATTCGGAAATGCTAGGAAGAATGCCCGCAGAGCTGTTTTGTTTGCACCTATTAAAATTAACCTGTTCAGCCTCAATCTCAGATTTGTGAAATGTTTTGTAAGTGTTTGTCACATTTAATTTAAAACCACAATTAGCCATCTGGTTTCTTCAACTTTTGCTAAGGAGTAAAAAACTGCCTTTAAAGTGGAAAGAAAGAATAGGCGCTTTCACACTAAAGGACTTTTTTTTTTCTTTCCAGAACTAGGAACTTGTGTTGTGTTCACACTGTAGGAGTTCTGCCCAGTTCCCGGAACCCTTTCTTAGTCTCTACTCCAGACAAGCTACTAGTTAGGTTCTTTACAGGGATAACTTACTGATTGGTTGAACATAAGCACCAGCGTTGAAGTAGCACAGCAAAAATTGAGCAGATGGATTTTTTTTGGACCTCAATTACAGTTAACTCATTAATATTTTTTTGTCTAGCATCTCCATATTTATGCGTCAGAAAATTAGATCTGTTAAAATGAAAGAATAAATATTAAGTACTTGCACCAGAATGTTTCTAAAATGCGATACTTAAACACTATTTAGCAGTGCAGCCCTGACTTTGGATGTGGTTTTTGTTGGTCAAAAGCACGATGTCATTTTGCTGCCTTATAATAGCAACACGCCCATAATGTGCCCGGCCACACCTGATTTAAAAAACACTGTGAAAAGTGGGTGCAAAGTCATTTACTATTTTGACAACTTGTGCTCATGGTGTGAAAATGAGTAATGCGCTGGTATGAAACTAGCAAAACCACTTTGCGTCGCACTTTGCGCAGGTGGAAAATAGGACCTATCGATTCCACAGTGGGATTTGCATGAGTTTAAGGCCCTTCTGCACTCACTCTGTCCTATTAATTTAATCCGTATTTTGTAATGTTCATCTGTGAAATAAAGCCTCTTGGGTCTTCTTTCCATTCAATAATATTGGTTACAACTAGATTTCTATGTTATTCTTGATGTGCTGTTTCCACTGTTGTATCCTTCATTTGTGCCTCTTGTGTATGTAAGGACTGACAACTGTCATTTGGCATTGTATTAGTTCTGCTATGTTTAACAAAAGTTGATGACCGGATACAGGTCACTCTTGAAACAAAATTTGTTGTATTATCGTACTGCTAAACCTCACAATCTGCCATTGGTTCTTCTCAGAGAAATGCAGCAATAACGTATTTCTAATTTTGTGTTTCCTGTAGCCTGACAATTTTGTAGCTCTCCCTGAAAGAAGAGTATCCCATCTATTTGGGCTTCGTGGAGGAGCAACAGGTCAGAATAACGGTTCAGCCCATTGCATGCATGCACGCATGTCGTTCTGTGAAAGCTGCATGCTTAAACCCAATTCTTTGCCGCTTAATTTCTCATTTGGGCTTTTATTTCTTAATTTTGTTATTTTTAAAATCATTTTTCTGGATTTTTGATCAGTCTTTATTTTGTTTGCTTTAAGGCTTTTCATCCAATAGAAAACTGCTTTTTGGACTTTTCATAATTCAAATACGCAACACATTACTGACTGATTGAATATTGTACCATAGCAATATTTTGTAATGTTTATTCTGTAATATTTTTTTCACCCTCCCTCCAATCAGTGTTATACCCATATAACATTTTATGAACATCAGAGTGCTTGACATAATACATTTATCACCTTCCTGCAACGCCCCTACCCCAAGTAAGCATCTTCTGCTATTATTTGATCATCTTATAACTAGGGTTGTGTATTGGCAAGAATCTGGCAGTGCAATGTGTCTTATGAAACAGGGCTTATGATTCACTATATTACATTAAGCAAGGTGATATATTGCAATTTTTTAAATTTAATTTTAGGAAAACTGTCACAGTTTAAAGAGCACACCACCATATGCAGAAAATCTGAGTTAAGAAGTTTACCTTTTGTCACTGTACGAATACAATGATTGGAACAAGCCTCTAGATGTCAAGTTAAGGCTGAAACTAAAAAGAGTACAGGTAAGGAAAGACACACACACACACACACACACAGACCTAAAATAAAGAATAAAATGCCAGCAATAAGGCAAAAAACTATTGTTAAAGGGATATTGCACAAAAAAAGTGGCACAGGAGAGCTCCTGGCTGTTGCGCCTGTGCGCGCCGCCATCTTGGTTCATAGTTTTCAGTTTACATTGTTACGTCGTAGTGGAAGAGTCAAATGGCTGAACATAGCAGCGTTGTAATCTATCTAGCAGTGGGGGGTTTAAACAACACAAAATGAACCACTGTCTGCCGCAAATCTTTGCATGTAAACTATTAGAACTCGATGCTGTGTATTTGAGAATTTTAATACAGTATCATGAAACACATCGCGATCTAAACCCCTTTTAACTTTTATTTATTCTCTAAGTTGACAGAAGGCAGTATGGCAGCCTAAGGCTGCCAACTCCTACATTATTATGTCAAGTGACTTTCAGCGGCTTTGGATTTTCATAATAAGCTGCCACTGTAATTCATTCTCTCACTTGGGTCTGTAAATGTAGCTTTTGCAACAGCTGAAGTAAAACCTATAAGGCACTGGCTTTTCAGAACAGTGGTATGGGATTCTTGAGCTACTTAATTTCTTAATATTTCTCTATGTATGTGACCATATTTAACTGATATTTGAAATTTTGCCTTTTTATATTGCTGATCATTAAAAATCTGAATATAAAGTAGAAATGATGCAAGATGTCATATACTTGGGTCATTACAGTATATTTGAAGAACTTATAGTACGTCATGATCAGAGATGCACCCTGACCGTGGAGTATGTGAGGTTTGTTTTGTAAGGTATTATTTTGCGTAATGACGGAACATGACCCCTCAAAGGCAAATGGACACCAATCTTCACCTTCCCCACCCGGGATCTGTAACACACTGGCACGTCTTTCTGCAGCTGTTTCGGTAGCTTATCAATCAGTCTCACCTACTGCTAAACCTATGGCCTATAGCCAGAAATAAATTTTGGTGGATGGGCTCTGCAATCCTACCGATTGGTCCCCCTAGGAGCTTTTGCCGAATTTCGAGGGGGTTCAGACTGATAATTTTACTACCTGGCTATATGCCTGATCAGCAAGACTTTGGAGGGTTCAAACCTCTTATTTTTACTATGCTAGACTATAGGTAAACCATCGTACATTACAACCTAAAGTGACGGTGCTTCTGTAAGTAAATATGAAGAATAGATTGGTCTGAAGAATGAAGAGTTATTCACGTTGTAGTAATTGATTAAAAATAAAAATGGGTGGAGGGAATAAATGTCGATTTTAATTCATTCAATTTTAATGAACAACATTTCTGGGGAAATAACAGCAGCGATATCATTAAACAACCAAAAGTCAACATTAAGGTTGGTTGAAATAATCCAGTGAAATAAATCTGTACTGTAAAGATGCAAGTATTGTAATGTATAAGTATAGTATCTGCACATTTTCCAGGTATAAATATTTTACAGATACTTATTTAAAGATATGTGAATATTAGCATCATGCATTTTTTTCCCCCCAGAATTTGGCATGATTCCCTGTTTTCAATATAAGTAGAATGTGTGTATCTGACGTTAAATCAGTTTAACAAGTGAAGAATGGGAAGTGTTCGAGTGCCAGTAAATGGTGTCCATTTTCAAAAAGACTTTTGTAGACTAAATGAGACCATGAAATTGCTGCCATGTCTAAAGATAGCTTGCAGAAACAATAAGGAGGCTTCGCTGGACCTTTCTGGTCCAGTGACAAGCTGCTAGAATGTGGGATTGTGGCCATGAACTACTTACCTCACTTTAGTTCTTGTGAATTCTTTGCGGAAAGTACTTCTAAATGAAAAACATTATACAACATTACATCAACAATCCCGTAGTTATTATTTCCCCGCACGTATGCATCTGGAGTTTGTGCAGTTGCAGTGGGATTATAGCAGGTGGTTGTAAGCGATCCAACTCACCAAGGTTAAACTAGATACTCTGCTGTGAATGTCTGTATACACTGGTCATCCAGACACCTGTCTCAGGATATCACCAGCAACTGCACCATAAGGCCCTAAATTTGCCTTTGCTCTTTTATGTCTCCTGAAATAGATCAGAGATTCCTTCTTCGATTTTTGCATTATAGATTAGGGGTCATTCGAGATCTTGCTTCCCGTTTGTTTTTTCTGGTGAGCAAAATTTTACTAATTATTTTTTTTTCCTAAAAAAATCGCAGTAGAAAGACTTATTGAAAGCTTTGAATGTCTTTTCTCCTTTAGTTTGGTTTAGTTTCATTTGTTATATTGAAATCTCTTCGGTCTCTAAACGTGTGTTTTGCAATCTTTCAAACAACATTTCAGTTTATAGCCCAGCATTTGTATTACAGATGTTGCTGAGGGAGTCATTCATGTACTAAAACTGTTTACAGTCTGTGCTTTTCCCTACATCTTTTGACCTGCAAGGGCTGTGTGGCTTTTTTGATTTTTGGTTAATTATATCCTTGTACTACTGCTGACCCTTAATTTCTTTAGTGTGGGCACTTTAGGTTAACATGCAAGCTCAGCATCTATATAACATGCAGTAATTATGTCTAAGGCTACCCATTTTGTGTTATTTTCTTACTCTTGGATTTGCTTGGTGCTTCCCATGTCTGCTTTATAGATTGCCTCTGCCACAGAGCCTTCTGATTGGCTGAGGACCTTTTTCATTATGTGGCGTATGACTTGCTCTGAGTGACGAGCAGGGCTCAAACGATTGTCTAATGTAGGGATACCATTCTTCCTAATTCTGGTTTTCTGCCATATTGTAAATTTTTTTTTCTTCACTTTAATGAAGTGAAACTAAATCAAATTATTAAATCTACAACTGCTGTGTGGCCATTGCCATTTATTATATTGAGTGGTAAAGATTTGTGTGAATGTCGAGCAAAATTCCATGAAGCTTCCCTGACCCTAATTATTAGACAGGGATATGCAGAAATAATTTGCTAGTAATTAGCATAAGGGCAGGGAACATAGGGGTTAATTGTCATGTGTCCTTGATGAGCGTGATGTAAGGACATGGAGAGAGCGCCACTACCAAGTTCAGCCAGTGAGCTGAGGTTATAGGGACCAGTTAGAGCAAGTGGGAGGCGTCTCCAGGTGCTGAATTCCGAAGCTGACACATGGTCACCCAGCATGTGCTCCGACAGCCAATCCCGTTAGTGATGAAGCACTTTGATCCTACACACTCTCTCAGGCTGGGAAGTTGGCACATGGCCTGAGTACCTACCGGGAAATAAAAATCTGGGACTGAGGAAAGATAAATGGGTGTGGTAATGTGCGTATATACGTACATACACACAAAAGAATGTCATGGCAGAGACATTTGTTGATATGATAAAACCATGCAGTGGGATATGCTGACAGATGCGAGTGATTTAATACTAATTGATGAATATGACTTTAAAAAATAGATGATATCGAGGTATTAAGTCATCAGACACTTAATAATAATGAACTTGAGCTTTGGGAGCGGTCACTTGATTAATCCTTAAAGTTCTGGCCTTCTCCTAATCCAGTCTGGCATGTAAATTAGCACCTGAAAGGGGGCAATTGGCCAGCGACTGTTTGCCCTAAATGGAGCAGAAGAGGGAGGCAGCGAGCCATTAAGCTTGGTAACGGGAGGTAATCGACCTCCTGTATTTCCTGTATGTAAGGCTTATTACAGCCTCACATGCTCTTTGTAAGACCTGTGACATGCATTGCTTGGGAAAGTGCTAAGTCTTATAATTCCCTTTTGTGGAGTTTGTTCTGCCAATCTGCAGGTCTTAGCAGAGGCATTTGTGAATGGGAAGGGCATGCATTATGGGAACAGAAATGGCTTTTCGTCTCTAACATGAGGAAAAGGTAAACGTGCTGCGCTAACTATTTAATGACTTAAATAAAGGGAGGCAGATTGCTGCATACACTATGAATGCTTTATTAGTTGGTTATTCTTGATTAATATTTACATACAATCTTACCACTTACCTGCTAAAAATATTTAACTAATGATGGCACATCATGCAGGTATGGACTCAGCTTCTTCACAGTTTAGATCAAACACGCATTTCCAATTGAAATTGTGTGTGTGTGTGTGTGTGTATATATATGTATATGTGTATATGTATATATATTAGGGCTGTCAAAATTAACGTGTTAACGCGGATTAATCCATCATGATTAATCTGATTAAACCCCGTATCCCCCGATACCCTGACGTCTGCGCCTTTGTCTCCGTTCCATCCCCGCTCGGCACAACAATATTATTATAATGTATTAATGGTTTATTAATATTAAAATAATTAGAAATCTCTATTTTAAAATGTATTTTATTATATAATTACTGTTACTGTCTTTCATTGTCTAAATATGTATTTACTGTCTAAATATATGTATTCAGCTAGTGTAAACATGCACGATGCTATCACAGCGAATGCGAGGCTTAGACTGAAGCGTTACCCTATGTTTCTGCTGAGAGACGTGCCGCGTGACTCATTTCCCCGAGCGTACAAGTTATCTTAGGTCGGCGTTCACGGTTTGACTTCTGAGATTCAGATCGAGTTCTAGGTAATTTTTTTTCGAACTGGTTGGTTCGACTTTTAAGAAATTCGAGTTCTAATGAGTTCGACAACTGAGGTACCACTGTATTTCCAATAGTTTGAATTTTCTAGTGTAAAAATGCAATGCATTTATTTAAAAGACAAAAGGTGTTTCTTCTACATTTTGTTTGATCGTTTGAGTTATGGTTGAAAGCAACAAGCCAACAAACGCAAGTCTCATTACCAGGTGGAGAATGTTGCAAAGACGTTCTCTTGCTGCTGCTTTTCCAGTATGGTGAATGGCTATCCCCACACAATCAGAATAGGAGGCGGCACGTCTCACCAGTGCAAGACAATTCCATTGACTCTGTCCGATTTGGGGGGTGAGGTGGGGGGTGGTTAAAATCTCTGGTATAAGTGGATCATTTTGTGAAGGTGATAAGCTGGCCCAGTAGTCTTGAAAATCATTGTGAGATCACCAGGCCAGTGTTAAATGTTGAGCTTTCATTTATCTACTCGATAGTCCTATACATGTTTTCTTGTCATACAGTACCTACTTGAAGTGTACTACCTTGGCGGTGCGCCAGTTATTTGCTAAAAAGAACATTAGCATTAAAATGGCACAAATGTATGAATGAAGATTTTCACAAAGGAAATAAAACCACTCGTCATATCACAAGCTTTTGTTCTTATCTCTGCTTGCAACACTCAAGCTGTGGGCCATAAAGTGAAAAGAATTCATGGTTGAATATCTCTATATGGGAGGTCAAAGGTGATACATACGTTCTTAGAATTTCTGAAGTATTTAATTTGTGCCACATAAAATGAACGAAGTTTAAAATCCGTGGGCATTTTCCTTAGAGCGTCTGTTTTCCGTGAACTTGGAGTTTACAACATTTGGTACTCATCGTCAATATGCTGAATACAGAAGAAGGGATAAAGAGAAGACTGACTTTTGTAAGGGGTAAATCGTTATGGCCAGACGACTGGGTTAGAGCATCTCCGAGACGGCAAGGCTGGTGGGGGTGATCACGCTCTGGGGCGCTGGAAGCCTTGCATGTCATGACACATCCCTCCAGTGACCACCATCAAAATTTGCCATTTTCTGTTGCTTCGCTATTTATTTGTACCGCATTGGATAGACTTCATTCTCATCCCCCATTGACGAGTCTTGGCTGCCCAACACTTGTCAGCAGTTTGTGGTTTTCCCTCCTCCGACCTCTCAGTAGGTAGGGTTACTCCCCAGGTCTGACCGCGAGCACTGAGCACCCCACAAGCCTTGCTCTGACCCAGTTATCTGCCCACAGTGATTTGGCCCTTGCCCGATCAGTACCTCTGCTCTTTTCTTCAGCAGTCAGTTTGTTGACTACGAGTACCAAATATTAGCTTATCTGATTCTAATCTATCACAGACTTTGACGTGCACCATTTCTAGAAGAGTCATTATTCGCTTCGCATGGGGGTGGTTATAATGGTCTCATGGGTATACATCAGTTTGTATAAAATCTACCAAATATTAAAATGTGTTGCACCCTGTAGGACTAAAGTTTGAACCTTCTTAGCCTTAATAATGTTTTCTTGCAGATTTATTTTCTTTAATATTCTCTGAAGGTTTACATTTAAGTAAACCGAATAGCTTTCCATAATTGTTTAGTGGGTAGTTTTGAGCAGCATTTCTGCTAGATTTCTGGTTGGGTTTTTGCTAGACGGAATCAGCTGATTTGGTTCCCTTCGTGCTTCTGCAAAATCTGCTCTTTCTGTTGCTGTCTCCAGTGTAGGAGGGAAATAGTCTCCCTCTGTCACGTTCTCCGCTTCTCTCTGTTACTCTGTATCAGCGTGTTTGTGTTCTTTTTCCAGAGGAAACCTCACAGTGCCTAAAATCCAGGAGTCCAATATGGCATTTGGTGTCCTTGGGGTGTTCCTGGGGTTACTGCTGGAGGTGTCAACGCACGGACCCTCCAGTGTTCCCAGGATGTCATGGAAACATCAAGGTAAAAAGAGAACGCTCTTGTTTTTTTCTGTAGGAAATATCTATAATGAAAGATTGGTACAGAAGGAAAATAGAATGACAGTGTGATAAATTTTCTACAGTATGCCTGTACACTGGGTTCAGCAGTCCTGCTTTTGTGCTTCAGCTCATTAAATGTGATGCAGTTAATGACATGCTTCTTGGTTGACCAAATGTTTTTCTTAAACCAGCCAAAAAGGTTTTCACACATTTGGTTAAATGTTATAACAGTGCTAGCTGTTAATCTCTGTCTAAAAGTTTTTGGAACAAATTTATAATTTATGTTGTTTTGATTATGCGGCTATATCCGCTGACCGTAGACTGGAAAAAGGATAGTGGATTTCTAAGAACTGTGAAGAATAATGCGACTAAGAACAAAACCACCAGTAAATATCGTATACGAACAGCTTCAGTCTGAGTGATGCAGTTTACATGCGCGTGTTTGCAGCTCAGGCTTTTCGCTGCTAATCTCAGTGACTGCTGCTTACCGGTTGTTCAGATGAAAACTTTCAGCAGGTTCGCAGTAAATCATTGTGATTTGAAAAGGGTATAATGATGGAGACAATCGCAGGCTGAATAGACGACTGCTGCCTGGCAACCAGAAGCACATGTGTAATAGAAGAGTTTTTGACCTGTCTTCATTTCTCTCTGAGTACAGGGCTGCTCCTCATTTAGTTGTTTTGTTTTCTTGTGTATTTTTGGGTGGGGGAGGAAGGTTATTTTTGTACAAAGTGTAAATATGCTGTTAAATCAATGTTTTCATAGAAGAATTTTTTTTTTTCTTTTCCCCCTTTTCGACAGAACTTGATTTAATAGAATTCTCGGAACCGGGGATTTTTAACTATTCCACCCTTTTGTTGAATGAAGATGAAGCAGTGCTTTATGTGGGAGCGCGGGAGGCCGTATTCGAACTAAGCATGAGAAATGTGTCCGTCAAGAAAAATAAGGTGTGATTTATTCTGATATTAGTATATGAAATGAATATAAATTTTGCCAAGCAGTACTTTTGTCATATTCATCCCCAGTTCTACATCACACTGCAGATTATACCTTTCAAGTTCTTTGTGTGTATAAATTTAAAAAATATATATATATGCATATGATAATACTGATAGTCAATGAAGATAACACTTTGATTTTTGTTGACATTTGGTATGAGAATTTTATGTACATTTGATAAAAGGTTTTTTATTGCAGGTGATATGGAAGGTCCCAGACACGCATATGACTATGTGTATTCAAAAAGGAAAATCTAAAGAGGTACGCTCCCCTTTTCCCCAACATTTTATGAATCCGAGAAACTAAAAACAAAATGCAGAGACCTGAAGAGAAGTGGCAGTGTTTTTAATGATGTTTTCTTTCATTAGCATGCCCCTTTCTGCCATGTTGTTGCTGTTTTTCATATTTTTTTTGTTATTGATAATGTATTTGAAATGGTATGTTTTCAGTTTACATGGTCAGTACGGTGGGTGCGAGAGTTGGTTAAAATATGAACAGACATCTTAAGGGTGTTGTGTATTTGTGTATCTTGCAGACAGACTGCCTTAACTACATTCGCGTTCTCCAAATGCTCGATGACAGCAGCCTCTACGTTTGTGGGACACATGCTTTTCAGCCTGTCTGCGACTTTCTGGTAACCTCTCCGAGAAATTATCCTAGATGGCGTTTCCTTTTTCTCTTGAACATTTCTCTTGAACAGTCCTCTCTCTCCGTTGTTAGTCTCTCAAAGACTTTAAATTGCAAAAGAAACAAGAGGATGGCAGAGGAAAATGCCCCTTTGACCCCGAGCAGAGTTTTACTACGGTTATGGTTGGTAAGTTGCTTTCTCTGTGTCAGCTCAGCTTGTTTTAATGCCTGTAATGAAAATATGTCCGAGGCAAAACTAATTGATGGGGGAGACGAGAAAACAAGGCAAGCCATTGTGTTCTCTGTCAGTCTTGCCAGATTTTCTTTAGGAGACTTTAGAATATAACTAGTAAGTTCTGTTTGTCTTATTTTTAGATGGAGAGCTGTACTCTGGAACGGCATACAACTTTTTGGGAAGTGAACCAATCATTTCCAGATATTCTCATTCTCAAAGTCTGCTGCGCACAGAGTACTCAACATCCTGGCTAAATGGTAGGAGGCCTTGCCATGAGTTAGGGGCGTGAAATTTTAAGTGGGGATTTTGCAATGGGGAAAGTCTCAAGGTCTGCATTTATACCAATGTGTGAGACCTCACAAAGTGTTTCCTAATCTTGGCTGAATCGCTGCTGCAGCTTTGTGCACTGATAGGAATGGGAATTAACCCTTTTTTTGCCTTTCTGTCTAGAGCCCAGTTTTGTTTACGCGGATGTTATTAGGGAGGGAAAGAACAGTCCGGATGGTGATGACGACAAGATCTACTACTTCTTCACAGAGGTGTCTGTGGAGTACGAGTTCTTTGGCAAGCTGCTCATACCAAGGATAGCTCGGGTTTGCAAGGTCAGGACGTGTCACTGGTCATATGCCTTGCTCACAAGTCTTTGGTTGGCTACCTTTGAATAATGGAGTAGAAATGTGTATATTTCCACATGTACAGGCAGTCCCTGGGTTAAGAAAGCCTATTATATGAAAGATTCAGGTTAAATACAGTGGTTCATAATAACGAACGCACACGCACTACTTCGTGACCCTCGTTAAACATGGTGTGGCTTCAGTGGTAGGTCAGCTCAAGGTACAGTACAGTAACCTATGTAGTTACTTTTGCTATTGTATAATACACCTATTAATAATTTTATTATTGTGTACTGTATTTTTCTGATTTGCCTACGAGTTTGACTTAGACTTAAACAGAACTCATTTGTAACCTGGGTATTTACCTGTATTTACCACTCTGCCCATTGAAACTTATCTGGATTTATCCCACTGTAAAAATCACGAGTGATTATTCCATCGTCTTTAATGCTTGTCCTGTTTTGGGCCGTTTATTATGATAAATATAATAAACAAACTGCCTGTTATGATGCCTGTTATGGCAGGGTGATCTTGGAGGGCAGAGAACATTGCAGAAGAAGTGGACAACTTTCCTAAAGGCTAAATTGGTCTGTTCCATGCCTGAGCTCAACTTTGTGTTCAACGTGGTCCATGACGTGTTTGTTCTGAAGATGGACGACTGGAAAGAGAGCATAATTTATGGCGTTTTCACATCACAGTGGTGAGTAGTGTCAATGTGAGAACGTGATGAAGGATGTTGATTTGTAGATTTTTTTTTTATTTCTTTCTAATGGAACATTTCTTCTGAATCAGGGGAAACGTTGGTTTGTCGGCAGTGTGCGCGTACAACATGTCAACAGTAGAAGATGTGTTTTCAAAGGGAAAGTACATGCAAAAAGCGACTGTGGAGCAGTCCCACACAAAGTGGGTGAGATTTAATGGAATCACTCCAAGTCCTCGTCCTGGGGCGGTAAGAGTTTCATGCATTGTGATATTTAACTATAATCATGCTACACGCTCATGCTACACGCTCATGCTACACGCTCATGCTACACGCTCATGCTACACTCACACACAGACACACACAAATAGCAAGTAGCAGTAAAATAGCACTTCACAAACCAGATTCATTAGCAAATTGGTAAGGCAAAGTCAGGTCAACACAACCTTTTTTGGGAGGGTCAATATGGCTCTAAGCCACACAACTTGCTTGTTCATGCATGGTGGAATACTCATTAGCAAGAGTAATTATAGTTTCAGTCAGTTAATATAGCCAGGTTGCTACACAGCTCATGTTTAACAAATGATGTTAGTGAGATCAGTGGAATGAAAACAAGATGATGAAAGGTCTTTTAGTGTAAATTTTAACATTGGCTGTTTGTCAGGACAGTATTGGCACTTTTACACTCGCACTGCCGCTAAGAACCAAACCGTACCACGAACTGACGGTTTTCCATTGTAAATTGTCTGAGCCGTACCCGCCATCTGATTGGTTGAAATGCACGGAGATACTGGTGTTCTGCACATGGATTATCTGAAGAAAAAGAGTGTATTCTATATATTATTCATTATTAGTGGTATTGCACATCACAATGTATTGATGCATTCCCAATAACTCGGAACTCGAAAATTTCTGACTACCTACTTAAAGTACTATAGAACAACTGAAATTACGATGTACACCATGTGAACAGTAGATAAGCGTCTCTCCGGTTGCTCCCCAAACCCGGCAGCGCTTTTATTGATCCTCCTGCAGTGGAAAACTGAAGCGAGCTGGAGCCTAACTAGTCTGTAACTAGTCTCTCTTCACGGTACGGCTCAGTTCCTGTATGTCAGTGGAAAAATGCCATAATTCTCTCTTAAATTCTTATATTCTCTGTTACTATGAAGGGCAGTCATGTAATGTTGCAAACAGTGATGTAATGTGGGGGGAAAATAAATCTGAAGCGGAAAACATGTTGGGGGACTGATGGAATGTATGAAACCTAAAGCTGTTTCAGAAAGAAGTTTTCTGAATCTGAAAAATCTCTTCATTTTTTTTTTCTATGTACTTCTGTAATTTACTTGTGGTTTTAATTAGTCATACATGGATGAATGTATATGAAAAAGTTTTTTTAAAAGTTTTATAAAGCATTTGATTAATTAAAGACTAGTAGTGATTGCTTTAGGTTTCCTTTCAACTTAGAATTTTGTTTCGGCAGTGGTGTCTAGTTTTTATATATATATATATATGGAGACTTCATGAATTTTTCTTTTTTTTTTCTAGTGTATCAACAATAATAATCGAATGCAGAACATCAACAGCTCTCTTCACCTGCCAGATAAAACATTACAGTTCATCAAGGATCACCCACTGTTAGAAGACCCTGTTCTTCCGATAGGGAACGGGCCCAGGCTTATTGCCAAGGACGTGAACTACACCCAGATTGCTGTCGAGAGGGTGCAGGCCCTGGATACTAACCTGTATGATGTCATCTTCACTGCAACTGGTGAGTTACTGTCAACTGTTTTAGTATTTTGGTTTGTATTAGTAGTAAAAATTTTATTTTGTACAAGAACAGTGCTGGACATGTCAGGTCCAGGAGCTACAAATCCAGACCTAGATTTTATTTCTGCCAATCAGTCGAGCATAAAGAGTCACAGTCACAGAGAACTCACCTGGTTGGTAGAAACAAAATCTTGGTCTGGATTTGTAGTTTCTGGACCTGAAAAGCCCAACGCTGTGTAAGAACTTGGTTGATTGGCAATGTGAGAATGTAACTTTGCTGAACTTGAGAAATATTAATTAATCATCTGGCTTTTTGTGCATTTTCTGAGTGTTTGTACAAATCGTTCATTTTTGGTTTGCCATAGATAAAGGATTCTTGTACAAATCTGTAATTTACGGGAACGAAGTGCATACTGTTGAAGAAGTACAGCTTCTCCGTAATTCTGAACCCATAAAGACTTTGCTGCTTTCTTCTCAGGGGGTAAGTGAAGATGTTACATTGTATGGTTTTTAAAAAGATTTTTGTACTATTTTAAGGCCTGTCTTCCTTTTTGATGGGGGATTAAAATGTACAGTTGAGCCCACTGAACATTGTGGAATTTAAATTATAAGTTCTTTGAAGGTATAGACTATGAATTTTAAGAATGAAATGTATCGAAATAATCATTAAGATGTATGATTCATATTTTGCTGAACAGGATGATTGCTAAATGTGAAACGTGGGATTTTTGAAGTGGGGTCACCAAGTCTGGCTCAGAACGGGAACCAAAATTGTCTTTTGAGAACCATTTACTCGCTTATTTTTTCCTGGGGTGTATGTGTGAAATGTGTTTATGAAAGAGAATGCTGAATTGCAAATTCTATTTGCAGAGATTCCTGTATGCCGGCTCTGACACTGGGGTAGTGCAAGCCCCCACGGCCTTCTGCGAGAAGTATTCCTCTTGTGAGGACTGTCTACTGGCCCGGGACCCCTACTGCGCTTGGGACACCGATGCCATGGCTTGTGTCAACATATTCCAGGAGCTGAACACAGCACAATGGTATATTTGTTAATTGAAGTAAAAACATGATGGAAAGTTAGACTTAACCAATCAATTTACAGTTTAACTTTATTCTTTTAATTGGAATGAAAGGTTTCTTTTACTTTGATACAATAATCTACTTTTTGGAAAAGCTGATGAAACTCTGCTTATTATAAACATTGCTATGTACTAAAACATATATTTTACAGGAGCCTGGTACAGAGTCTTAATGGTGATGCTGACAGTTGTCCTAAAGGTATGTCTTCGATTTTAGCTAAAAGTATACAATAGATTTTAGAAAAATCACGAATATACGAGACTGTTTGTCTCTGTAAATGTCTTGGTATTAGAACGGATGCCTTGTCATCAGCAACAAAACAGGAATAAGATTTTATGACTTGAAAACCTGCTACTTACGCCCTCCAATACTGCGTACTTTTTGAAAGTCATTATTATAGATGCTTTCTCAATGATTTCTCCTTGTTAGCAGAGCGTAATATAACATGTTTAAATAGGGCTGTGAATCACTATAATACAGGGGTGGCCAATCTTATCTGCAAAGGGCCAGCGTGTATGCAGGTTTTTGGGATAACTTTTAGGTCATCAAACCCTGGCTGAAGTGTCCTCACACCTATCAGTCCCCTAATTAGTAATCTAATTAGGGATTTGCCGTGAAAACCCACATATCAAACATCCCTTTATGGATAACATTGCCTACCCATGGATTAAAAAAAAAACTGCAGTGTTTTCTGTGATTAATAGCGATGAATCACACCGATTATTAAAGTTTATAATACTAAATATTTATACATTGAATATGGGTCATGGTCACACTCATTACTGTAACATTAATTTTCACTAATTTTTTAAATTCATTTGAAGACAGACTGAAAACATACAAGTTCATTATCTATAATGCTGGTTATGCCTCTGGGGTGTAACCTTATTTCTGTACTAAACAAAAGTATTTCATCAAGCAGTGCAGGAGTTGCTGAGATGAGGGAAAAAAAGATAAAACTAACAAATACAATAGAGCAAAAATATACATCTTGTCATACAACTTGATTGCTTATTGTGGGTTACCGGCAATAAAGCTGAAAAAATAATGCAACGCATTAATGCATTGAATTTTCAAATCCATAAAGTAATTTTAGTGTGATTTTATGTATTTGTAAAATGCAAAATATCTTATTCATTTGGCTTGCTGTTCCTATAGCTCTACAGTTATGTACTGGTTGTATTATTTTTAATATTTATAAATTAGCTTTGCCAGCCTTGATCTTCACTCGGTGATTGTATTCATATTGCCTGTGTCTTGACAGTGGGCAGTGGGACGGAGGAGGTTAAGGGGGGAGTGGGCGGGGTTTATACATCTTACATGACTGGCTGATTAACTGGGACTTCCTTCTCTCTCCCCCATTCTCCAATTCTTTCACATTCTGGTGCTCATGAACACAGTAAAGATGCTCTCCAAGGAGGAATACCACCGCATTTCAGTAAAGCCAGGTAGCTCTGTAGAGTTACCATGCCTCATCAGGTCTAACCTGGGACAGGCTGTTTGGAAGGTCAATGGCAGCATGTTAACCGACGCCTCCAGGTTCTACTTGATGAGCGAGAGCGGCTTGCTGATCTACAGCGTGGCTAATGAAGACCAAGGCCTCTATGAGTGTTGGTCCATAGAGTGGGGCGGGGGACGGAATTTCACCCGCCTGGTCGCGGGCTACGTCTTGACTTTGGAATCTTTCGCGAACACATCCTATTCCGGCACTTTTAGCTCCAGTGCTGCCCATAAGTCTTCTACAGCTACTGAAGGTAATGGCGAGTTTACGGAACCTGCGTTAACCACCGCTGCAACCAGCATTACTACCTTAATCATGCCACCGCGGCCTGCCACATCACTAACACCGTCACCCAGCAGTACGGTTAAGTTTTCGCCGAAGCATTTCTTCCCCAGCACTGGCCCTCCACACCTGGCAACCCATGATCTGGAGCCACGTGACCCTTCTGCCGAGTACCTACTGCATGACAACAGCAATGCCCTACTCTTCCTCTTCCTCCTCTTCTTCCTCCTCTTCCTGATCGTTGTCAGCTACAACTGTTACATGCAGTTCCTCCCTGCTCCGTGCCTGAAGGTGCGAGCCGCTCTGCTGGTGGGGAAGAGAAAGTCCCAGCCGGAGTATGCGGCCTGCGAGGCAGGCTTGATGGAGCACGTGATGGAGAAGCTGGACTCCACGGAGCAGTGTCACCAGAATGGAGCTCGGCAGAAGGTTCTCAGGGACACGGGCTATGAAACGGAGCCAGACTGCAGTAATGGCAACACACTCTTGCCAGAGTGTACAGATGAGGGCTTATCAGTAGACAAGCCCTTTGATGTTGTCTGTGAATCCCAGCCCATTGAATATGCTGATGCAGATGCTCCATGTTGATAAATACTTGCATTATCCTTCAAAAATTGTTGTAAATTTTAATGTACCTAATATATGGGTTCCTAATATCTGTCGCACATACCCCTACCTATAGATAGTCACGTATCTACATGCATTTCTGCATGCAGAAAATAATTTTATGAGTCTTGATAAGGACTTTGCTGTATATTTCACTGTCTACTTTTAAATTGGTTTTTCATACCACTTCTGATTAAATGTCAATGGTATGCTAAACACTTAATTTCTTACAGTGGTGCAAACATATTTTAAACCAACATTGTTTATCAGTAAGTTCAGTTTTTATTCCAAATTGGAAACAAAGTTTACCAAATTGGTAAGTTGGTAGATGTTTACCATATTGAAGTTCTGTAGTGTTTTATAGTATGGGGAAGGAATTACTTCAAGCTGTCTGTGCAGTCAGAATGACCAGTACTTTAAGCTGAATTTTTTGTAGGCTGAATGCTTGCTATTTTTTTTTTCCATTTTATTTTTGTAATTCTCAGGGATCTTGATGTACTTGATCTTTTATTTTCTGTCTGTGATTCACTAAACTGTTAATTCAGAGCCGCTGAAGTGCATTTGCATACTCTTGGGGTGATTTAGAGCATGATTTATGACGTCTAAATAAATGATGAGTGTAGAAATGTAGTATTATGCTGGAGACAAGTGACTGAAAAGATTTCTATTCCTGTGAAAATGAAATCTGGAATTTAAATGCCCAAAATCCCCCCAAGTGACATTTAATATACACATTAATGACTGCCTTGCAGTTGGGGACATTGCATCACAATGCTTAACCATGTACAATGCTTTTTGTGGTTGTTATAACCTTTGCGTGTTACTGTTAGAAAATGCTGGATGTGATTGGTCTGACCAAAATACTGGGCAAACCTGTCTAACCACAACATGAGGTTCCAGTGTATTGATCTAACATTCCAGAACATTTTTTTTTTTTTTTTTAAGGACCAGTAATGATGTGAGTGTATATATGATTTAAGTTTTAGATCACGGGTAGGAAACCCTGATCCTGCAGTGCCGGTATTTTCCATCCTACCTGATGAGTTGCTATCTGCCTGACATCAGGTGTGGTTCATCAGAGACCAGGTAGGATAGAAAAACCTGCTGGACGCTGGCACTCCAGGATCAGCGCTGCCTCCCCCTGATGTAGATCATCCTGTACTTGTAAAAGGAAAGAACAGCTTATGTGTAGTGTGTGGGTTGATCCTTCTGCTTGAGTGAGGCAGCCTCGTCAGCCCCCTTATCCTCCACTGACCGCTCCTTCCCTTTCTGTTTCACATCCTTGTGAAGTTCATGACCTCTGTCCTCAGTGCACTTTCCTGTTTCTCTCCCATTTTGGGCCTCGCACCATCTCCGCTCCCAGCACCCCTTGTATCACCCTCTCCTGCCGACATCTCATCCCCGTCACCTCCCAAGAGCCCTCCTTCCCTCCCTTCCTCCTCCTCCTCCTCCTCCTCCTTGGGGGTGCGGCTGCTACCCCCTCTTCTGAGTGACCAGGCTGTTGGGATTCATGCCCAGGAGGCCTTCCTGCTCTTCTGCCTGGCCTTGGGTAAGTGGTGCCTGTGAACACCCCCTGCCCAGCTGTGTTTTGCATGCAGCCCCCCCACCCCACCCTCCTCTCCCACTAAGGAGTCTTCAGTGTCGCAACCTGAGCCTCTCCTTGTGAGCAGCGCTCTGCTCTCCTTTGTTCTTCATCCTTTTTCCCAGTTCGGATGCAACAAGACTGAACAGTTAACTCCACACGGACTAAGTCAGAAGAAAATACCTTTTATTTTAATGGTTCAAAGAAAGTATAATTGAAAAAGCATGGAATATTTTTATGAAAACAATGTAAGTGTGTGTTTTACTATACATGTCACACCCTCTCTTCCTTGCAACCTGCCTGATCCATAAAAAGTTAACTCTGCTACAAACCTTACCACAGCATGTGGGTGTACAGTGTAAATATTTGTTCTGTATATTTTGCAAAATGTATATAAATCTTTAAACATTTTTGGATTGGTTTTGGTAGTAGGACAAATAAATTTTGTAATTCCAATTGTGTTAAATATTGTTTATTTACCGAGTATCCCCTTCATCAGATATGGTGGTGCACAGGAGGAAGAGTAACACAATCAGTGCAGAAAGGTGACAACTGAACATAGTAAATCCCCAATACAGCAGACAATGGTTTTGTAAATTCAACAGATGTTTCATTGATGTTATGCTTATAATCTAATGTTGCTTCAAAATGTAAAATCACAAATACATATTTTCCAGTATTGATTAAAATGAGAGATTTGGGTGAGGTTCGTGTTGATTACACATTTTAGTTTGGTTCTTAAAATAAGAATCATTTAATTATGTCCATTTTAGGTAAGAGCTGCAAATTATTGAATCATTCATTTTAGAATACACATTTGGATTCTGTGAACTAAAATGTTCTTGCATTATCATATATATTCAACAATTAATCTCCTCTGACTAAAAGGTATGTATATTTTGAAATTTGCATAGGATCTCTCCCTTGTGTGCAATTTAAGCCGCTATTGCAACCTTAGGCTTCAGAGTAAAATAACTATTGCCGCTGCCCCTAAGTAAAATTAGTTTTTATAGGTGGTTAATCTCAGAAGGTTTCATTTTACAGACCATACGAGAGGGGAAGGTGCTTTTTTGGGAAAGAGACCACAAACGCTTCCAGAGCCACTGTTACACGAGACTCTTAAAAGATTAATTCTATGTTATATTTTTCCCAGATAAAGTTTGCACATTGTTTTTTTTTAGCATTTTCTTTGCCATAATCGTATCCCAGAATTTCTTGAACAAATACAAACCAACTGTCCAGTAAGATACTGCACATTGTCTTATTAGTTTATTTCTCACTGTGAATATACATATCTTGTGCCTGCTTGCACTGTAAAATTATTAGTTTTTTTTCCATTTAACAACATAACTAGCAAAATACATGTTTAAATTCACTTTATTGGTGCTTTGAGTAGCAAGCTAGTTAAAATGTAAAACTTCAAGTCTTGTTTATTTTTCTTGTTCTACATTAAAGATAGAATCAATGCTGATGATAGGCCTTGGTAGCCTCACAGAAGTAGTGACTGGCTGTATCAGGTGATTGGCTTAAGTCTCTGTGTTCTTTCAGTACATTCACACAATTCTCACATTACATACTTTGATGGGGCATGAGAACTAGAATGTCCTTGTTTGCTGGATGAACTGAATAAGGCTTGGATTCAGCTTGTCAGGAACTACTGTGTGTAATATATGTGTGAACTGAAATGTAAATGAAAGTCAAAAGGAATATTGTTTTTTTTTTTTTTTTTAAAGTAGTACAGTTGAATTTTTCAGTACTTACTGGTATTTCAGGCAGTCTTGCTACAGTAGACCGTGTTTCTTCCGTGAAATAACTTACCTTCAATAAGCGCTTCATTAAAGTCAGAATTCACAAGGTATAGTATAGTTTCTATAAAAAGAAAGGTGTCAGACTATAAAATTGTGAGCAATTACTTAGACCAGCCAGCAGCTTCAAACTAATCTGGATTGGTGTCTGACTTGTTAGGTTTGTGTGTCTGTGTGTGTTTGTGAGCATGAATGCCTTGTGATGGCCTGACTTCCCAGGATAGACTCACTGCAACCCTATACTGGATATGCAGCAAAGGTATGAAAATGAATGAAATTAAGCATCAATACTATTTTTAAGCGCTATTTATTCTCCAGGTCCGAGTGATCTTCACATTCACTGGCAGGTGAACGGGCAGAGGCTAGAAGCACCTGTCAAAGAGTACAGGCACAGTGTGACACAGTGGGAAGTTTTCCTGAGCAGCTGGCTGAGACAGGAGGTGCTGGAAAAGGACTCCGAGTTCCAGTGCACTGCCACATCCCATGTAGGGAATGAAACCACTAAAACTGTCATCAGCCTCAGCAGCAGAGGTAGGCTGACTGTTTATTTGCATTCATTTGTATCAAATCATACATACGAAAATTAGGAACTGTTTTCTGTGCCAAATCTAGGCCAAGCTATGCAAAGACTTGCATAATGCCCTGTCATGCCTAGCAGTTCAAAACTTCAGAACTGTCTGTTGGTTTTTTTTTCTTGTTTCCGTTTTATTAATAGATGAGGACAGTGCTCCAGCTAATGCCTTGAGCCAGTGGAAAAGTGCGCTGTCCCACCATGAAAAGCTGTTGCAGAGCTGGAAGAAAGCTTGGGTACGCTCGGTTGCATTGCTCAAGTTTTTTTCCTCCTTTGCCACATTTTGAATGAGCTCCTCAAAGACCTTCACTTATATGGCTCTGTTCTGTTTACGCATATGTGACTGATGAAATTTACTGAGATTTAGTCCAGAGATAACAACATTTTCCTCATAGCAACTTTTAGTTAGCATTGTTTATTTTATATGCTTTAAATGAAAATCCAAAAAACATCAGCATTTGAGAGGAACTAAAAAATAAGTAATGGCAAGAGCCAAACATTGCATTCTATCACAGTTCATTTTTTTGTCTACTATACAAGCAGGTTACCTTGTGGTTCCATCTGTTTGTTTTTAGAACAGATTTTGGTTCTTGATTGTTCAAGCACCTAGAGTTCTCTGTATCTATATAAACTATAGCCAAGCCCAACATTTTTCATACTAGGAAGATGGTATTATGGTAAAAAAAAACAAAAAACACATGTTTATGTGATTTTCCAAGTTGTTCAACAGCTTTGAATGAATAAGGTGAAATGTTTGTCGTATGTCGTATGTTTTGCTTCTCTTCAGGAAAGCTGTTCAGAAGATGGTGTTCTCTGAAAGGACACGTGTCATTGCGATGGCATGTCTACCTGTGTCAGCCAGAGGTGAACCTACTCTGATGGTCACTTGGATGATTCTGCTGGTCCAAGGTCTAATTGAAACAAGGATGGAGAGACACCATAATCTGTGGTGTCTAGCTGGCTGTACTGCTGACACAGGCTTTCCTGTATCTTCTGTCATATTGGAGATGGTGTTTTTGGAGAAATGCCAGGAAAGTCCATTTTGATAAATGTAAAGGAATGTTTTACTAAATGAAAGGGTGTATGCAATTTACAGTGAGTGCATACTGCTTGCACATTTACTGATGACACATACAGCATTTCGGTAAATAAGAATTGTTAATGATGTAGTATTGGCAGGTTTTACATTTTGTCTTTAATCACAGTTTTTAATTTATAACATTTATACAGAATAATTTTGAAATGTCACTATAAATTGCGAAGGCACATTCAAATACTTGTTTTACTTCAATTGAAATTTATTCTTAGAGACAATGTGATGTCTGATGTTTTTTAAAACAACAGTGAATAGTTAAGAATAACTTCTTAATGTGAAGCAATAGAAATCAGTTCAAGTGTAAGTACTTGAAACATGTCTTTATAAATGCATAATTTTTTATATATTGTGCATTTGTGATGACATTGTCTGCGTATTGGACATTTTTCTGAAATACATTGCTGCATTGTAATATGAATTATAAAATGTTTAAGAAAAGTAGGTCAGATTAAAAATCACCTCATTTGGGGTAATAAGGAAATAGATGCTGACAATAAATTACATTAAATTTATACCTCAGGTTGACTTTAAAGCGCTGTTAATGAATACTATTTCAATGAAATGCATTTCATTGTTTGGGAACTTCCTGAATTCAGAAAAGTTCATTAATACTCCTTGAAACTTCTGCTGCCTTAAGGGAAAAGATTTACAGTGTTTCTACTATTTGTTAATATTGATTGCGAGATGCTGTTTACCAGTAACAACACTTGAATATATATATATATATGAAATCTTTCAATGGACAGTGTACCATTGACACTTGTATAATGAAATATTTTTTATCAGACTTTTGTATTAGAAACAGCATTTTGCTTTTAAAAGAATGACATTGAAATGAAGGCTTATCTTTAAATTGTAACATTGTTTAAACTAGTGTGAAATTTTACATTTTTATTTATGCGCAACTTGCGTGAGGAATCAGCAGAGAGATAATGCACATTAAAAACTGAGGGGCAAGTGCTGATAATTAGGGTTACAAATGTGAATGCTTGTTACTCAGCTCTAGTATTTAAAAGACTTGTTACATACATAATAGACAGGTGAGTTTGCATTATATATAATACACAGTGGTACCTCAGAACTCGAATTTAATCCGTTCAGAACTCCGGATCGAATCCTAAAAAGTTCGAGTTCTGATCGAATTTTCCCCATAATAAATAATGGAAAACCAATTAATTGGTTCCCAGCCCCAAAAAAATACACCTAAATATGTCCTGCCCCGATCGTCCGCTCCTTCCGTGTGCCACGCCCCCTCGTTAACCCCGTGTGGAATCCTGTGTGATCAGCTCTTTCTGCTTGTTGTCATTAGCCCTCTGTATTTCGTCCACGTTTCAGTTTGTTTCCCCAGTCCGGTCATTGTATTGTCCATCTGAGTTTTGCCTGCCTTACCTGTAATTAAACCCCGTATTCCCCGATACCCTGACATCTGCGCCTTTGTCTCCGTTTCGTCCC